TATAGGAGAAACTTGCAAACTCCTTCCTCTCAAGCTTTAGGAGTGGAACTTGGAAATCCTACCCTCACAAGTTTTAAGGATGAAATTTGGAAACTTCTTTTTTACAAGTTTTATACATGAAACTTAGAATCTCCTTCCTCACAGGTTTTCTGACGAAACTTGTAAACCTTCTTTCATATGATTCCCTCTTTCATTTAAGGTTACGACTCTTTTATAGGTCAAGTGATTTTTCTTATCTATTTATTGACCTAACATCATAATCTTCAAAGAGGAAATAGATCTCTAAAAAGAATGCAATATTTTAAACTTTAAACGATATCCTAAAGACAACTAATATATTTCTTAGAGATTTGAAATTGAAAATTTAAATTATTTTTCCAACAATTCTTCCCTCAATTAAAATTTTCAAATTTTATCTTTTTGTTGCCTTTGATACTCGTCACGATCATCTTCAATCATATTTATGCTCTATAGTATTTCTTGCCTCCATTCTGTAAGTATTAGAATTGTTTTATGTCAATTTTCAATACTCAAGTTACAAAATCATCCAGACTTTAATACCACTATTGGAGAAAAACACTCATTCTTTTTTAAGCGCAACAAAGACAAGAAACACATTAAAAACATTAAAAATAGATAGAAAATCATACAAAATTTATTTAACGTGGTTCGACCCTTCATGCCTATGTCCATAAGAATGTTCATTGTCTTAAAATGTATAACATGTTCCTGAAAATCCTCTCTTATAAGTTTTGTGGATAAAACTTGAAAATTCTTCCTCACAAGTTTTACTCACAAGTTATGAGTGAAACTTGGCAACCCCTTCCTCACAAGTTTTATGAGTGAAACTTGAAAACTCCTCCCTTACAAATTTTTTAGCAAAACTTGGAAATCCTCCTTCGTATGACCCCTTCTATCGTTTAAGATGGTGACCCTCTTTATAAATCGAGTGATTCTTCTCATTTCAAAAACTTCTATTTATTAACCTAACATCCTAATCTTAAAAGAGGAAATAATTTTTTAAAATAAATATAATATTTTTAATTTTAAACCATATCCTAAAGACAAATAATATATTTCTTTATCAGAATAATATCTTAAAAATTTAAAATTTAAAATTTGAATTATTTTTTCAATAATAAGTTAAACATTTGACTCCACCAAATGATTATTGCATAAAATCAAAATTTTCATACAAAGAACAAAGAGGTAAGAAGAAAAAACATTTCCATGTCAAAGGTTTTTTTTTTCTTTTTAAGGAAAACTCTCAGATTTTGATCGATTTCATATAGGGCTAAAAACGAGTCAAGTTAAGCAAAATCTGGCTCCACTTAGCACAATAATATTTGACTTAACTTGATAATATTTAACTTAGCTTGTAATTTGACTCAAGTTCGACATAATTTTTTTTCACTTCGAACTCAACTTAGTTCAAGCTCATGAGTAGCTTGATTATGCATGTTAGCTTGAATCACATGAATAAAGGGTCAATTTTTTTAAATATTATACATTCCATAATTTTAATTTAATAATATATTTTAGATGAAACTATTGTTTATCTTTCTTAAAAGACAACATAATTATATTATTAGTTTTATAAGGTTACAAGATATGACTTGAAGAAAGTATAATTACAACCAAAGTTTATATAAATAAAAACTACCCCACCTTACATATAATAATAAATAAATAAAAACTCAATCCATACCATGAAATTCTAAAGTGATAACTTCTTTTATTATATTAGTTTGTAACTAAAATTTGAAGGTTCTTTTAAATTTTAATAAGTTCAAATTAAATAAAAAATTAATTATATAAATTACATAGGTATATATTGAGTTAATTCATGAACAAAACGAATTGAACTATACACAGTTTAAGTTTGACTCATTTATTTATCGAACTCAATCTTTAGTTTAGGTTTAAGTCATTTGACTTCTTAATTAAGTTCAATAAATTAATTATCGAGTCAAGTTTTAAGCTATTTTCAATTTGATTTAGTTCATTATCACCCTTAACTCCTATAGAATAATTGTTAAACTAGGACCAATCACATCCACACAATTAAGTTTACAATTCTAGGAAAAAAATTAAAATAAAAAAGAATAAATTGTATAGAACTCTAATTAACTCAATCATACGTTTTCTCTAAATCTACTTAATTTAATATATGGCAAGTTGGCAAGCAAACCCGATCTATGTTTAAGTTTTTGAATATGATGAAGAACTTCCTGGGCAAGGATAACATTGTTCATTGTACCATGAACAATGATTTTTTTTTCATATGAAAAAAAAAAAAAAAAT